CATAATAATAATTATGCGAAGCTAAACAGAATCAAGACCCAGCTGCTTCAATAATAATAATTATTATTATTATTATTATTGTTTTAGTGGGTCCACTCTCTCTAAAAATGACCCCTATAATTGTAATAATGGCAACTGGAGTTGTAGAGAGGCTAAAAGCAAAGCCAAAGTCTTGGGGGTGAGACCCCAATTCTGCAGGACCACAGAACCCAGGCAATAGAAAGCGAAGGAACCTACTTTGGTGGTGATCCGATAGGTGATGTAGGTCTCCATTGTACACACATGCTTCTTGGGGTCATCAACCGTGACAAAGAGATCTCTCGTCTCACCATCAATGTCATCGTCAAGCTGAAGTCTATTCAGAAGGGAAGATGAAGAGGCTGGACTCGAAGTGCCTGCTGGAGTGCCACCATTGGGCAAAATGAGATCCTAAAGGGGGGAAAAAGTTACCTGATACATTAAATGCAAACACACAACAGAGAACTTCAGCCAGAGTAGCTGGTTTAGCCAAACCAAAAAACACCTCTAAAACACAAAAGTATTTTCACAATACCTGAGCCGCTCCACGCTCAATGTTCCTTAAGCAAACAGATCTTTTATGACCAAGAGAAATAAATGCTGGCAGCACTCTAACACCCAATCCATGCCAATTCCTCTTCCAGCAACACTGGTTGCAGTGAACAGCCCACAATCAGACTTGACAGAGCCAGAACTGTGTGAACAGACCAAACGCTACTCTTTTCTGCCCTCTCTGAAGACCACTGTCTGGGCCAAGGAAAACACTAAAAGGCCTGAGCCCAATTAAGTACTGGACATTTAACAACTCAATCATCACAAAGAGACAATCAAAAATTATGTGCTTCATGAAAGAAGTTCACCCTGCCACCTAGCAAAAATAAGTAACGTATCTGAATCCTGAACCAGCCTCTATACACAACACTGACTTATATGAAAGACAGTGGATGGAGAAACATGTTAAATAACACTCTGGGGATACAATTGGCAAAACTTACACTATGCGAAGCTAAACAGAATCAAGACCCAGCTGCTTCAATGAATACACTTCAGGAGAAGGCAAACAGAGACACGGACGCAGCACCCCCAAACAGCTGAAACCCAGTCAGGTGCTATATCGCTGTTCACACACATTATGAACCATGGAGATCTGTCTGCTAAACATGTTTGCATCCTCTTATAAACTATAGCGCTGGGTTCACAGTACACAATAAACGCTGCTAAAAACAAAATTTGCGTTAGAGTCATAGTTGATGTCTTAAAGCTTGGGTCTTAATGATTTTATTATAGCAATATCTAGAATAGGCCTTGTGGAGTGATAGAACTTACATAGTTAATAGTTCGTTTGTTTTTTTTTGTTTTTGAGGGGTTTTTTTTGGTACCGGGAATCAAACTCAGGACCTTGCACTTGCCAGGCAGGCACTGTACCACTGAGCTAGATCCCTGGCCCCATACTTAATAAATAAATGAAAATATCTAAGCCAGGCATGTTGGCATACACCTGTAGTCCTAGCATTTGGGAGGTAAGGCAGGAGGATCTCTGAGTTCAAGGTCATCCTCAACTACATAGCAAGTTCAAGACCATCCTGGACTACATAGCGAGACCCTGATTCAAAAAAACAAAAATGGCGGGCTGGGGATTTAGCTCAGCGGCAAAGCGCCTGCCTGGCAAGCGCAAGGTCGTGAGTTCGGTTCCCGGTACTGGAGAAAAACCCAAAACAAACAAACAAAAAAAAACCAAACAAACAAAAAACAAAAATGAAACAAAAAGAAAAGGAAATATCTATTGCTGCAAAATGCTCATTCTCAGCAACAAGCTTCAGTTATAAAAGCTATAAAAGCACTCCTTCCCCTGCCCCCCTTTTTACCCCAGGGAAGACAGACACAGAACTAGGTTGCTTTAAAATCCTCTGGTTCAAAGAATTTAGTTTGAAGGTCCATTATTGTGGTCAGCCAGCCACAAGAGAAAGTATTAACATAAATCACTGACCAAATTCTCTATTACGTTAAGCACACGGTTTATGAAAGGGGTAGTATATATTAGGAGCCAGTAAGGAAGTAATAAAAGCAAGTCATGCTAAACTAATGGAATTTCCCTCATTGACACTGTGGAGGAATACAGGGCCTCACTTCGGAAGCACCTGGTAGAGCCCCTCCAGGTGTCCTCACGGGTAAGGGCAGAAGCACAACTCTCTTGATACACAGCCTGTGCCTCACTGCCTTGCTTCACCTTCTTCATGCCAGGGACCCAGCAGATGCCTGAGTGTGTCCCACAGAATACTCCTGAGAGTGGATCTTGCTACACAACACAGTTAAATCTAAGCCCACACTGGAGAATAAACACAAAGGGAAAAATCTCAAAAAATGTTCCGTTCAAAGATGTTTAAAAGAGAACAAAGAACACAATGAAACCAGGAAAAATCCCAAGGCTCAGTAATCAAGAAATGATTGTCTTTACATTAATAAGACAGAAGGCCATGTACTCATTAAAAATTACAAACTGAGATGTCTATTTAAACTCTGCGAGATGACCACCAGCCTTTGCTTTCTCCCTGTTCCACCCTTGCTAATTAAAGAACCCAAAGAAGAGGAGCAGAAAAAGCAATGAGGAAAGGAAAAAGAAGGGCAGAAGGTGAGGGGGTAGAGGGGGAATGGAGAGGGGGGAGGAGGGGGAGGGGAGGGGAAATGGGGGGGTAAGGAGGAGGGGGAGGGGGAAAAGTAAAATAATGACAGCAGTCCCACCAACACTGGAAATTAGGAAGGGTATCAAGATACCAAACTTGCTAAGATTCTCCACTGGATACTGTCAGGGGCTTTGGCCAGAGGTACGCATAAGATGGATATGCAGAGCTAAGGGACTTCTGGAGCCTCCCGGAATGCATGGCTAGAGATTAAAAGATAGCAGACAGGGCCACAAGTCCAAGTAGGATCAAAACACACTGCCTTAAGGAATGAATGCTCTGACCTTTCCTCCCCATACTCCAATTTTTCACTTAGTTAGCCCTAAGGTCAATCAATAACTGATCACCTGAACTTCCCCTGTCCCTCTTGATTCTATCAATAAAAAGCCACAGAAGCTTCAGTCTGGCGCTGTCTTATAAGCCTCTCTCACACTGAGGGGTCTCAGTAAAGGGCAGTCCCTTCAGGTCTTCTTGGAGTTTGAACTGGATGTTGCTCTGAGTAATCTCTCACGCTTCGCACCATATCACGGTACAGGATATAACTGGGACACAAATGAAAACAGAACTAAGAAGCATCTTTAACCTAATCCCTCAGGTTACCTCAGGTCACCAAGGCTCTCCAAGAAGTCCTCCCAGGAAACGTCCTCAACACCGCATATGCACCCTAGTTTGCAAGTCCATTGTCAGGGAGGAGGGGGACGTGGGAGACCTGACAGCACGAACGAGGAGGGCGACCAGCTGGGGTCCTGCTCACAGGCTTTATTACTACTCCTGGGGGACAGAGGTGCGAGATAAGGGTCAGACGAAGAAGATGGCACCTGGGTTGGCTGCCCCGTGCCTGCCCAACAAGCACAAAGCAGGTAAGACCAAGAGCTGGCAGGGCAGGGTTCTACAATGGGGACAGCAGCTCACGCAAGAAGGAGCTGGGGCTTCCGGGAATCCAGACACCGAGGAGAGCCGACCCATGTTTCCCTGACCAGAAAGCCCAGGACTCGATGTCCTCTTTCGTCCTCCTTTCCCTGATGACAGATGGCTCAACTGGTAACAACTTAAGGGTCAAGCAGACAGCTGGTGTTTGTTTGTTTGTTTTTTGAGTCAGGGCTTTGCTATGTTGTTCAAGCTGGCCTTCACTATGTAGCCCAGAGGCTGGCTTCGAACTTTGTGGCAATCCTTCTGCCTCAGCTTCCTCAGTGCTGGTATTACAGTCTGTGCCACTGTACCTGGCAATAAGACAATTCTTACAACATCAAGTAGAAACAGAGCTGATCCAATAATTTGCTTTCTCTGACAGGAACCCGAGGCCCACACTACTCCTTCATCTGATACAAGGAAACAAAAACTCTAAGGCTTCCTAATGTCATTATTCAAATCCAAGAAAACTAAAGTATGAATGAGTAACACAGAGTCCTTGGGAGCACAGAAATATACACATGAAAAAGCTTTATCACCTAAAATAATAGACTTTAGGCCACATCTACTTTGTGCTCCCTTTTCTTTTTAAAGTGAAAAGTAGAGAGGAAAAAATTTAAAGCATATATTGAAAACAGAAAAGGACAAAAGTTATAACCCAAAACTTAATTCTTCTAAAGATGAATTTCAGAAGGTAAAATCAAGGACACCGGGGCTGGGGATTTAGCTCAGCGGCAAAGCGCCTGCCTGGCAAGTGCAAGGTTGTGAGTTCGGTTCCCGGTACCAGAGAAAAACCAAAAACCAAAAAAAAAAAAATCAAGGACACCTCAGCAATACAGAATGGAAAAAAATGAAAACAGAGCAGAAATATAGCTATTTAAATCTTGTCTCCATATGTGATTATAAAATATAAGGATGGGCTAAGAATACACCAGTAAGTCTGGGAATCCAGATGTGCCTTCTCTGAAAAAATATAGCCAAAATAAAAGTTAGTAGAGTCAGAAATAACCACAGAAGTGATGTCAGAGCCGGCATGGTGGCACAGGCCTGTAATCCCAGCACTTGGGAGGCTGAAATAGGAGGATCATTGAGAGTTCAAGGCCAGCGTGAACTGCATAGTCAGACCGTGTCTCAAAGATCAAAAAAAAAAAGAAGATCAAAAAAAAGAAGAATCAAAAAAAGAAGATCAAAAAAAAAAAAAGAAGTGATGTCAGAGAAACCCCACTAAAAGACAAGTGAGGCCCCAATGGCTTTGCAGTGAGCCCTAAAAAGCCTTTCAAAGTAAATTCTAAAAAAAAGTCCTACTGTATTCAAATATTCTAAGACATACTTTTACAATGGTGAAACCTTTAGAAACCACCTTACGAAGGTTATCCAATATCTAATATTAAAATATTAGGACAAGAAAAAAGTTAGATCTAAGTATAAATATCAAAAATGAACAACTGAGGCTGGGTGTGGTGGCGTATGCCTATAATCCCAGCACTTACGACGCTGAGGCAGGAGGATCATTGTGAGCTCAAGGCCAGCCTGAACTGCATAGCAAGACCCTGTCTCAAAAAGACAAAAAAGAAAAAAAAGAGAACATCTAATGTGTATTAAAGTAATTTTTTAGAAAGAAAATTCCAGAAAAGCAAGAATGAGTTAATGTTAAGAAATCTGAAGCAACTTATTGTATCAACAGATTATGTATACAATCACTGTTGAAGATAACCACATCCACAACAATGTTTACTGGTAAAAATCAGGAGATCCACTAAAAACTCTAAGTAAAATTAAGGATTTGAAAAAGAAAGCTTATAAATATGTTAAGGAGTATCTATCAATAAATATCAATATGGACCTTGAAAACACTATTGTAAGTGAAAGAAGCCAGACAGGAATATGTTGTATAATTCCATTTATACAAAATGTCAGAACAGGCAAATCCATAGACAGCAGACTTCTGGTTGCAGAGGCTGGAAGGAGGGTGGCAATGGGGAGTGATGACAGGACCTGTTTTGGCCGTGGTAAAAATAATGTGGAGGTGAACAGTGATGATGGTAGCACAACCTGTGAATCTACTACAAACCACTCGATTACAGCCTTCAAAATGGTGAATTTCATGGTGTGTGTACCACAATAATGCTAATAAAATGACAGAAAATAATGTAAAACACTGGAGGCATGTCTACTAGATTCAGAAACAAGATTCTAATACCTAGTATTTACTATTACTGAGAGGCACTCTGGAGATTCTAAGCCCATGGCAGCGAACCTATAGAGCATGTGTTCACAGCCGGCTGCTTGTTCTCATAGAAAGCTCTAAAAGGTTCACCATCACTGTTCTAGGCAATGCAGTGATACACAGAACACTGAAATACCTGCAGTGACCCGCCCCATCACCTCTCAGCAACAAGTCAGATTCTCCCCACCTTAATCTAAAACTTTAATATACAAAACAGGGAGAAAGTATCTTTAAAGCATCTTAAAGTGATAGCTCTGAAGTGATGCATTTACAAAATAATGTTCAGTGAAAACCAGAGAAGACACAGACCACATGGTAGAATGAACTAAGGTTCACAGTGCTTAACTGCCCTCCATCATGAGGACCATATACTTATCATTGCTAGACTTCCCACATCCTACTCCACTGATATTCGCCTTGGCCATGTGACCTTCTCTGGTAAACTACACATGAATGCATGCAAAATCCACCAGATAGGAGCAGGAGCTTAGGTGCCTTCACATGTTCCCAGCAGGTCTCCTGCTGTCTCTCGCTCTCCTCTGCCTTCAAACTACAATGTCTCCGGCCGGGGATGTAGCTCAGCAGCATAAGCACTTGCCTAGCAAGCCTGAGGTCATGAGTTCGATTCTGAGTACAAAAAAAAAAAGACAAACGAGAAGGTCCCGCACAGTAGCTGTTCCTTCCAAATGGGGAAGGCTTGGAAAAAGCTACCACGGCTGACTCATAATCACCGACACACAACATGACATGTAATTAATGTGTGCTGCATAGCTTTGAATTTTTGGAGTTATTACCACAGCAAAGCTGACTAGTAGATGTAATCAGAAAAATATTACATAGTTGTCTAAAATCTAGATAGGAAATGGTGACATAAACACTATGGAATTTTAAGATACAGAGATTTCGCTTTTTCCCTAGATATCCAAATGGGTCTCAACAAGTATGGACCAAGTTCTGGGACCCTGATTCCTTATTAGTAAGAAGTTCAGTTCCCACCCCTACCCCTCACTCTCCACACCCAAATCACATCAGATAGTCTCCAGATGCTCTAAAGTTGCTAACACAAGTATCTCCAAGTTGCCAATGCTTGCTAGTCTGTGGTTTCTGGGCTAGTATCTTCTCTGAATAGATTACAGTTCCCCACTTTGGATTCTGGACCATTTTTTATAAAGCAAAGACTCTTCTTTAGACCTGGGTTTAGAGACCACCTGTTTTATCCATGGGTTGATGAAGTTGTTTAGAATCTGAATGTGTTCCCTAGGTTTTCTATGGAAAAATCCACCCTGTTGGTAAAACCTATCCACTGGCCCAATGCAAAAGAACACCATGCTCCTTGGCAAAGGTTCTAGTATCTGTTACTAGCTTTTTCTAAGACTCTCCAGACTGGCCATCACTTCTCCAGACATTCCTGTGATTCTTGGAAACGAAGATTTCCCCCAGCTCCCCACCAAATTTAAACAGGATTCCTGTTCACTTCTTCTAGAAGGATCTACTATTCCAAGCACATTCTGAAAGCCTAATAGGTACCAGCTAAAGAGCCAGTGCAGGACTACCAAACAAAAGAGGACTGGGAGCACCTGTGTTCAAACCCAGCCAAGCGGGGATAGGCACATAAAAACCTCTAGTGACAAGGCAGTGTGATACTGGGGACAACAGAGGCCAGTACACCGAAGAGGGTAAGTGAAGGATACAGAGACAACTTCAGAAGAGAGACTACAACTGCCAAACGGAAAAACAAGGCTGAGGAGAGCTTGGCTGAGGAATCACCACCACTAAAGGGAGAGAGCAGTTCCAGAAGCTTGGCTCTAAGAAGCACAACATGAAGATTCCATTTGTATTACTGGCCAAGTACACGCATGCCATGTGGATGACTCCAGAGTCCGAACAGGCTGCCTTCGAAGAAGTTAAGTGAAACCTCCCCAAAAGGCTCAGTGCAGTGAGAAGACTACCTAAAAACCTGCTCTCTTTCCTGCCCACTTCAAGGCTGCTCTCAGCATCCTGCCAACTGAGGATCCATAAAACTAAATTAATGATGATGGGATTTCTTTTAATAGTAACAAAAATAATCTGGAATCAAACAGTAATGATGGTTGTGCAACATGTGAATATCCTACACATAATATAATTCATCTCTCCACTGACATTTGGGGTGCAGAGCCCCTGAGAGGTCATCTAGGTTGTATGTGTTGCATAAAAGGCAAAGGCTTAGACATGACATGCACAGGCTCACTCAAGCGGTACACGAGGAGCCCAGGTCATAGCTTTCTCACAGGCGGCTATGGTATGCCATAATCCAGGCGCTGCTGCTTCTCTCTTAGATGGGGAGAAGGATCTAGAGTAATCCCCTAATATGTTGGCTCCTCTCCTCCTGCCCATGACCCAATGCCTCTTAACCATACCATTTGTTCACAGCTTACAAAACTTGATGCTAATTTAGACGTTTTTGTGCTACCGCCTAACATAGTACTAAGAGAGGGAACAAACGCCCTTGCTGTTTGACAAAACCAGATGCTTCAGGAAAGTTAAAGCAAATAGCATTCTGGGAATTTAGAACAAGGGTCAAGAAGCAACAGTACACCACACACAGCTAACTGTGTTACAGGTGATCAAAAATACTTGTTGATTGATTAATCATCACCCCAGACCAAATCCTCTCAAGGGCAAAAAAGCACTCAAGTGAGGAACAGAACAGGGCAGGACTAACTACCTTTACCAAGTGCCAAGGGGCCACTGTGAAGTTTGCTCTTACTGCTTGTACTTCTCACTGGTGTTTAAAGGACCTGTGCCATAGCAAGGCTAAAAGAGTCCTACCTGAATTACCAAAACCTCACTGTTCCCCTACAACACGGACTCTTTCTCTGTAACCCAAAGGCAGCATAGGGCCAAAATTACAAGCCAATCAAAATGCCAAAAGTATATCTTTCTTGGTAGAGAGCTTATAATTTTTAGTCTCAAAAATACCTATGTGTGGGCTGGGGATTTAGCTCAGTGGTGCAGTGCCTGCCTGGCAAGAATGAGGTCCTGAATTCGATTCCTGATACCCCCCCCCACCAGAAAAACCTGTATGTGGAGGACCACCTGGATGGCTCTCCTTGAAAGAAGAGCATTTGGCCCTACCTCTGTGTACTGATATGTGCAGAGCTGGCTAGGACATTTCCTTGTCCCCTCAGTTGGCTCTAAGCAGTGCAAATGGGTCCAGCCAGGTGCTGCTGTGTAGTCTTTGAAGCAATGGGACAGGTCGGTGACGCCCTGCCCACAGCTCCCAAGTAGCGTGTGTGAGCTGGGCTGAGAGACACCAGGATGGATGTCGGCTGAGATTGAGCTTCAGACTGAGCTTCAAGAAAGAAGCCATGGTATCTCAGGGCATGACGATTACACATCAAAACTGAAGCACAAACTCCAAAACACCAGGTACTGCCCCAATCTGTGCTATGCACATTTCTCTCCCTCCCTCCCTCCATCCCTCTCTCTCTCTCTCCCTCCCTCTTTCCACATTGCAGAGGTGATTTCAGGCCTCCTATCTAACCCAGCTCACAGCACTCACAAACTTCCCACCTTTCTCACAGTCACTCATCCCAAGCCACTCTCCTCTTCACAAATTCATACCTGGGTTTGGCCCTGGGTCGAGGCCCTTGCTCTGGTTAGCCATCGTTCTAGGTGGACTTAGGACCTCCTTGGCTCCCCATAACTACAAATATGCCTTAGTGTCTTTATTCGCTCATGGATTGCACTGGAAATGGTAGGTTGGAATTACTTATTGGAATTCCAGTAACTTTTCCCTGGAATTACAAATATAGATTTCTCTGGACCACAATGAGGTCCAGAAGGGCTTCCTATACTATGGGGGAAGCTTGGTATGGTGGCACATACCAGCACTTGGGAGGCTGGGGCAGGAGGATGTCTCTGAGTTCAAGGCCAACCTCAGCCACACAGTAAGTTCGAGGGCAGCCTGAACCACATAGCAAGACCCTGTTTCAAAAACAAAACAGAACAAACCTATGAGGAAATGAAAGTTAGGCACTACAGTTTCTAAACTCTCTGACCTAGAAATAGAACTGTATCTGAACTTCTGTTGGATACCAAATCCAAACTGCCTTTGGCTAGAATAATTGCACACTCAGTGATTCATCACACACACCCTACACCTTTGGTATGAGAAGTCCGAAAACCACAGCTCAAACCTAAAACTAACCCAAGACAAGACGAGAATGTGTTAAACTAGAAGTAAATCTGTGAACATATCCAAATAGGTTGTACTTCCCTTTTTATAGTTTTCACTTCATTTTTCTCTCCTCCAGTAACCTCTCACTACTGGTTCTGAGGCATTAAGCCATGTGTCAAGGATTTGGATCTGCATCATACCATGCAGAAGCCAGAAGAGATGCTTTCTGTGGAATCCCTCAAGGCTCCAGTCATCCCACAGCACCTTTTTTAAACACCTGAAGGGTGCCCACATCCAATCCAAAAGGGCAGATGGGTTTCCAGGCTTCAGAGCCAGACCTAATTTCCACATTCCTACTATCATTCAGACTGAATGTGAGTGATTCCTTTTTCTTTTCTTTTTGGTTTGTTTTTTGTTTGTTTGTTTGTTTGTTTTTCTGGTACCAGGAATCGAACTCACAACCTTGCACTTGCCAGGCAGGCACTGTGCTGCTGAGCTAAATCCCCAGCCCCCATTTTTATTTTCATGGTTAATTTAATCACTGGAAAAGATAAAGGTACTCAACCTTTTGTCTGAACACTACCAAAACAATGAGGAACGAAAGAAAAAGCAGAAATCAGTCTCAACCAAAAACACTCAAAAATTTCACAACAAACGAACCAGACACTGTCAGGTTAAAAAAGCAGAAAAAAAGCAGGACATAAAAGAAAGGCCCTTAACACAGCCATGCACCATACAACATTTCAGTGATCAACCCATGACACATACGGTGGTGGTCTCGTAAGATTATAAGGGAGCTGAAAAATTCCTATCACCTGCAGTGCATCTATTTCCTAGTTAAGTGCTACTACAAAAGAGATTAAAATTTTTAAGTTTGTAAAGTAAAACAATTACAGAAATCTAAGGTTAATTTACTAGTGAAACGAGAAAAACTTTTTAAATAAATTTCACATAGCATAAGTATACAGCAATGCCCTCTGCCTTTGACTCACACAGAGCCACCTCCACTCCTGCAAGTTCCTTTCAAGGTAAGTGCCTCAAGGGGTGTGTCTTTTTTTTTCTTTAGGCCCTATTTTTACTGGTGCTTTTCTGCATTTACATATATTTAGACACATAAAGACCATCGAGTTAGCACTGCACACAGTGTTTAATATAGTAACACACTGCACAGGTTTGTAGCCTAGGAGTGATAGGTTATACCTCAGCATACAGCAGGCTATTCCAGCGAGGTTCGGTAAGTACTACATTCTATGATGGTTACATAGCGACAGAATCATGAACAACGCATTTCTCAAGATGTATTTCTGCCGGGAGACAACACGTGACTGCAGCGGTCACACTTGTCCTCTCACATGGGCTTTCTTGCCCAGACACAGAAATGAGCTCTGTAAATAAGGGTCAGTGATCTGAAATTCTTATTTCTGACAACAAACAGATGGCAGAGACAGACGAAGGAAGAGAGGCAAGGATGGATGAGGAAACAAATGCTGCAAACTTACTTGTGTCGAACCTACGAGAGGTAAAACAAAGCTGGAAAGGACACAGCTCCCGCACAGCAGCCCAGCAGCCGCTCTGGGTCCCATCTCTATGGACAGGTGCAGAGCCGTGTCTTGAACCCAACACACAAGAGATCAAGAGATCAATAACAGAATTTCTGAGGATGCCTCCAATTGCACTTCCTATATGATGGAGGAAAACGCCAGCCGTCCAAATTGGAGAATATTATTTTTGTTGTTGCCATTAAGGTGTCGTGACAGATTACAGGACAGCTGGCTTTCCTCGAAGCCTCTTCCAGGGATAGTTGTTGTATAATAAAATCTAGCTAAAAGATTACATTCCTAAGATATATATAATTAAACATGTTAAAGCACCTTTCTTTGAGTAATGAAATACTTGATTAGTCCCTATACGATGGCAGAGGGAGTGGGGCAAAATAATTATCACTCCCTATTTACAGACCAAAATATAGGTGTTTCCCAACACATGTAAGTTTTAAGTAGCCTAATTGCCAGGGTGTTAGACTCTCCTAAGCCACAAATTAGAGCATATGGAAAGCAGAATCTATTCATGTATGTGTTCATGCAAACACTGAGTTCTTACTGACTGCCAGGTGCTAGTCTACATTTAGAAGAAAACAAGCTGGGAAGGACTATGCTTCAGGAATCTAGTTTAGGGTGCAGAATAGGGAATGCCATGTAATATACTGTAATAAATTCATGAATAAAGATAAACCTGCAAGCCAGGTGTGATGGCATAAGCCTGTAATCCCAGCTACTTGGAGACTAAGGCAAGAGGAGCACAAGTTCAAAGCCAGCCTAGATAAATTAGTGAGACCCTATCTCCGAATTGAAAAATGAATATAAAAAGCTGCAAAAGTAGCTCAGAGTGAGACCCTCAGTTCCATCCCCAGAACCAGAAGGGGTGGGGGAGGGACGGCTGTGCGCTACCGGAGCTGAGAAGGGAGAGTAACTCTCTCTAAGAAAGGCTTCAGAGATAGCAGTCTGACCTGGCTTGACAGGATGACAGGAAGATTGGTTTATCTGTCAGATCTACTACTGGCTATGGGGCTGGAAACACACACACACACACACACACACACACACACACACACACACCTTAATCTCCCCAACAGTGGCTAGAAGATGGCAAGACCACCCTGTCCAGAGGCACGGAGCAAAGAGATTACTGGGGATGTCTGTAAGATCCTTGATGGACAGGGAAGAGCTACTCAAGGGAGGAGAAAGAAGTTCCGTGCATGGGGCACTGCATTAGCAAAACTGCCACAGGCTGAAGTGTGACAGCCACAGCTGGGGACTGGTGGACGGACTTGAGCTGCTCAGGGGAGAGTAGCAAGAAACCAGACCTGAAAAGCCGATTAGCTCCAGACTCATGAATCTTAACAGGCCTAAGAATTAGATGAACACTCCATAAGCAATGACTAAGCTTTTAAGCAGGAAAGTGGCAATCAGGCATAAGTTTTACAGAAATGCTTCAGAAAAAAATATGCAAAACAAAGAGGGACAGAAGAGGCAATGGTTCAGGAGCTGTTATATGGCCCAGGCACACATCATTCACCTCCTGCAGTACCTGAACTGGTGGAGATACCAGGGGTGTCAAGGGCAGAGGAGAACTATCCTTAGGCTAAGTGCCCTGGGAGACTGTTATGATTGTTTTCCAGGCAGAAAAAAAGATTGGCCACACCAAGGGAAATTATGTTTCAAAAACAGACAAGTTACTAAAGATTAGAAACTGCTGTAGTTCTAGCAAAATCAAGGAAACCCAAGTTCATCAGCCCTGTATAGATTCCACCTTTGGAACAAGAGGGCAAGGCAAGTCCTGCTGAAATGACTGTGTTCTGTAATGGCTTAAAGCAAGGTCACAGGGCACTCGACATTCTCTTCTCTGTGTGAGCGCTGCCTCCCGTAATTCACTCCTTTTCAGGAATATGGTTCAGCAACAGCTGATCAGGCTATTTTTCCGCCGTCACAGACCAGCAGTCCTCACCACCAGCGCTCACAAGAGGCATCCTGACCACAGTCCCCGTAAGAAGGCCATATGCACGAACACCCCACAGACTGCCATCACAGCCGGGCCCTGACACCGGGCCAGAAAGTTCTTGGGACATCAGAACCCACTCTTGGCAGAAAGCAAATGATGGCCAGCTGATATCCAAAACCCTGGGCTAGGAGTTGACTCAAAAAACAAAAACAAAATAAAACCTCCAAATAGAAAGCAAAGGCTAGGGCTAAGAAAGATTACACGCTGTGGAGACAAAAAGCTACCTTTTTCACAGCAATCTGCACGTACAGTTGTAAGTCAGGAGAAGGGAAAATAAAAAAATTAAATGTTTCACGCTTACATTCTCTACTAGTCACCTCATACTCTGGGTCTCATTTAGCCCTAACAATAACTTGGAAAGGGGAGGGAATTTTACTATCCCTGTTTTATTACTAAACGAAGATGAACCCAAGATCATTCCCACAGAACAGGAAAAAGGGCAAGGACCCAGGCTCCAAACGCCAGAGCAGAGAGGCTGGAATCCTTCCACCATCTGCCTCTGCGTCAGAGGATTTTACTAAAGATCTACAGGACAAGAACTCAGCTACCTCCAGGTTCACCTTGACATCTTCAGCATCTAGAGATGTGCCTGGTGGCAAACAATCCTCAATCCTTTATAAGTGTTTTCCTTTTTTTTTTTTTTTTTTTTTAAAGAATGACCAAAATAAAATCTTTGTAACTATATAAATATGATTGCAAAAAAAAAAAAAGACATATTCCTAACCCACAAGTGTCAGAAAAACAACTTAAAACATGTCTCCTCTCAAGGGACTTTTAAGAGCGAGCCAGCTCCAGAGAATACCCAACACAAAAGTACCACAACCATCAATAAGTAGCTCATCTGGCCATGGGGATGGACTCTAGGAATAAAACAAGACTCCCACAGTGTATGCTCTTAGAAGTAAACAGAGTGGTCCGACATCCTCCAAGGGTGTCTGGCTTGAGCATTCAGTGCTAACGCCGGAGACAAGGATTCTCTTCCCCAGAGAACGCCTGGGCAACATCCACCTCATCCGAATGGCATGATGACTCACCCTGTCATCCCTACACTGATGGAAAGATCTGAGTTTTAATATATGATAATTATGGAACTTCAATAGTGAAGATAGAACAGATTACTCAATAAATGCTGATGGATAATTTGCTTAACTATTTACAGGAGGACAAAACAAGTTACATCCTTCTCTAACTCAATGCAAAAATGAAGGTCAGGTTGTTTATAAAGAATTAAATGAAAAATTTAAAAGTAGTATGAGTAATAAATGATTTATATATCAGGAGTGTACCTTTCTTGTGTGCGATGGGTACTAGGGGTTGAACCCAAGGTTTCTGCACTGAGCTCCATCTGCAACCCTTTTTTAAATTTTTTTTATATTTAGACATTTCTGGTTAAGTCACTAAGTTGCCTGGACTGGGCTCAATCTTGAAAGCCTCCTGCTTCAGCCTCCCAGACTGCTAGGATTATAGGCATGTGTCACCATGCTCTCTCAATTTTTTTTCAATGAAGGACCACAGAGTAAATACAGGGCATATGGTCTCTTCTGTAAGACCCACACAGGCTGTTGTACAACAAAGGTAGATCTACACAGTAGGTAAAGAACAAGTGTGCCTATGTTCCAATAAAACGTTACTTATGGACACTGAAACCTTGAGTTCAATAATTTTCATATGGCTCAAAATGTACTTTTTTCAGCCATTTAAATGTAAAAAAAAAAACTTTAAGATTAATGGTGATGACAGGAATGGGGCAATAAAAGGGCAGCAGGAGTCTTATAGTGATGGAAAAGTTCTGTATTTTTGTTGTTGGTGGTGGTTTTCTGAGGCAAGGTCTCACCATAGTCCAGGCCGGCCTTGAACTCACTGTGTAGCCCAGGCTGGTCTCAAACTCCACATCCTCCTACCTCAGCATCTTAGACTATTGGGATACAGGTGTGTACCACCAAACTCAGCTGGTTCTGTATCTTCATTGTGACAGTACTGATTTCAGAAATCTACACATGACAAGGAGTGGTGGCTCAGGCCTATATCCCAGCACTCACAGGCTGAGGCAGGAGGACTGTCACAAGTTTGAGGCCAGCCTGGGCCACATAGTGAGTTCAAAGCCAGCCTAAACTATATAGTGAGACCGTCTCCAAAAAAAAAAGAGAAAAAGAAATCTACATATGCTAGAACTGCACAGAACTACGCACGCGCACACACACACACACACACACCTATAAAACTGGTGAAGTCTGAATGAGTTCTATGAATTACACCATGCTAATTTCTTAGTATTATCACCCAAGTATACAAGAAACTACTAAGTAAAAGGTATCTGAGTCTTCCTTATAAAAAAAATTTTGGTAACTTTCTGTGAATTATAATTACTTCAAAAGAAAAAAAATTTAAATGAAACAATAAAAAAAAAAAAATAACCTGTGAGCTATCAAAAACTAGTGGCAGGCCAGATGTAGCCTTCTGGTCGGGGTATGCTGATTTCTGATTTATATAAAATGACGTGGTTGGGAAAGGCAATTTCTAAACCTCAACCCAAAAGGAGAATGCATAAAGAAAAAGACTAGCAGATTTAACATTATTTTTCCCTTTATATCAAAGGCAGGGAAAGTAAAAAGATTAAGATGTGGTATGTATATGTACTAACCCCCAAGAAGACCATAATTATTATGTATTGCAAACATATACTAATAAAAAATTAAACAAAATAAAAACAATTAAAAATTAAAAGATAAATAGCAACCTGGAGCAATCTGAACACATTTGACAATAAAGCTGTCTGTTTAACATATTAAGGATTTTGAAAATGATATAGAAAAAGAACCCAATACAAAAACAAGTAACTATAAATACGGCCAGTAAAGAATAATTTGTCAATGTCAATAGTAAACAACATGAAAATGAGCACATGAAATCATTTCTCCCATCAAATAGGTAAAGATTAATAATTAACAATAGGTCAGGCATGGTGGTGCACACTTAGAATCTCAGCTGAGGCAAGAGAATAGTAAGTGTACAATCAGGCTAAGCAAATTAGTGAGACTGTGTCTCAAAACA